GGCTGTATATTTTTCTGATTGTAAGGTCAACAAATTGTATTAATTTTTGTTGCAATGGCATTTTGGCAATGGCATCTGTTCGAGAAAAAGGGAGCGAGAAAATAGTGGTGAGGCCCTCTCACCTATTTCAGGTTCCTTCTAACAATGACACAATATAACTAGACTTATGTTTGTGGACAAAGACAGGACTTTTTTGTGACATGTGACATGTAAAGTTTCAAGTATAAGTTCCATCCAGGAAGGATGTGTAGTTCTGTTGATAATACATGGTGGCATATAATATGTGATTACATTCTCATAGGGCTTTGAATTATGACGTAACATGTCACGTGATGAGGTCATGATGATGTCACGTGATGATGTCATGATGACGTCACATCATCTCTCAGCTATAACACATCTCGGTTTAGTTACACACCAAGTAACAACCAAATCAGACCCATAGTTCTGCAGATATAGCCCTTAGAAAAATGCACATGTAGTGTGACGTCACATCAAACATGATGACGACAGGATGACGTATATTTTCATCAATACCACATCCCAGTCTAGGTACATACCAACCATCAACCCAATCGGACCTGTAATTCAAATTACAATGCACCTCCGGTTGAAAACGGAAGGAAGGGGTCACGTGATTTTGCACGTATCATCAAATATGAAGATCCTGGATTATTCTATCAACTCCTGTAAAAAGCAAAATCAGATCTCTCACAGTTGACTTTTTAATGATTTTCAAAGATTAAATCTAGACATCTTTGGTTGATTGTAATCTGATACTTGATGACATCATTGTGACGTCAGTTAACGCTGACTGTTGCCATGAGAATGTATGGTGAGACTCCATTTTCTGGCTGCTCATTTAAAGTATGCCATTCCTCACAAAGCAAAATTCCGGGGTGACTGTGGAGTGTTTAGGATCCGAGTTCCTATATAACAGATGAAACATCCACCTTTAACTTTTTACTTTTGTCAAGTTTTAACATTGCAAAAAATAAGTAAAAATATTCGCACTCCTCAGTTAGAGTTTCTTCATCAGATTAACACTGTATGCTTTGTAGTCGTTAACAAATTTTTAAAAACAAATGTTTAAAAAAGTGGCAGCGATATGGAGGTTGTTTCCAATTTTTTATTTAATTGATTGTGCAAACAATAACAAATTCTGTTACCATACTGCAATTTAAGGTATGAAACATACATGAAGAGCACTCGCATGACAGAAGCAGGTACAAGTGATTCCTAGCTTTCAATCACTTCCTTCAAATCCCCATCATCATCATCTCAAGGACAGACTGTTCAGCTGTAATTATGTTTTTATTTAGATTACTGTTATTTATTATCCGCGGTCTCGGTCTCGGTCTCAGTCTCGGACGATATTGGTCTTGGTGTCGGTACGCCTTGAAGGGGCTGGTCTCAGTCTCGGTCTCGAAACTTCAGGTCTCAGTCTCGGACTATCCGGTCTCGACTACAACACTGGTGTTTTCCCAACACAAACACTGGTTCTATCTGTCTATCACCGCAATTATCTCAGATTATTCCTGTATATGTTATATGATTCTATCAAACAGTTTTATGTTGTGTTCTGAATTGTTAACAAGGTTATATTTAAATATGTAATATTAATATTGTGATTTTTTTTTGGTACTTCAAAGGAAGTTTTTAATTGTAAACTAAAAGGAAATTCTATGAATGTATTTAGTTAAATCCCAAATGTCTTGAATCTGAATAGGAAGTAGTAATGTGACGAAACAGGGGTATAGGTAGACTAATATGCAAGTCTAGCTAAGAACCAGCAAACCAGCCTGCATGTTAGAATGCATGTAGCGCGAAGCGACCAATCAGCAGCGCGCATCCTGCTTGGCCCTGGGGTGATTATCTCTTGGCTGAGCGTGGGAAAGCACTCCTGGGAAAGATTTCGATGTGTCAACAGCTGTTATTGTTTGCTTTGCATCGAGCGAGAATTCAACGGCGGTGTGACCGGACCAAAGCGGAAAAAAGACCCAGCGAGCGCCCTGGTGTGATCGGTCAGTGTAGCCGGATTTAGTTGCTTGCATTACCCTGTTATTTTAAGTCTTATTTGCTAAGACTTGGGTGGGTTATTGCAAGTTAGAAAGTTGGGATTACTTAAGATTATTTGAGGGCCTGATTAGGAGAATAGTCGGACCCTGGGGTAAACCTGAGTTGGGAATCAGTGTAGGCCTAGTTCAGTCTGAATTAAGGATTGCTATCTGTTGCCTGTGCCATCTGGTGTAGCTGCGGTATCTTGTCCCTAGAGGTCTGGGAGCACTCTCTATTAGGAGATAGCATAGCTGTAAAGGTTGCTCTGAAAGTCTGCCTGCCGTTGATCCCTACCAATTTTGGCGTGGGCTACGGTCGGGGTGGCCTGGACACCTGAGAGCTTGTCCTTTCTCCTGCCGGGGAATAGTTCACCTGACTTTAGAGGGAATTGCGTGCCATTGTTCTGTGCCGAACATGGTGTAGCTGCGGTTGGGCGGCCCTGGCTGATCTGAGCGCTTATGATTTCCATAGGTTTACTGGGTAAGCTTCCCGATTTTACGATTTCCATAGGTTTACTGGGTAAGCTTCCCGATTTTACGATTTCCATAGGTTTACTGGGTAAGCTTCCCGAACTGGCGGAGGGAACTACGGAGACTATTTTAATCACCCTCTAAATAATCATGGGGTTATTTTGAGTGATTGGGAATAACTTGCCGAGTGTGTGGGTTATTTAAGAGTCACAAGTAGCTCGTTTTGCAGTTTGGCTTATGTGATTGTCAAGCAAGTCGGCTAGGATTATTCGTGTATCAATCTAGCTTGTTTATTGTAGACCGTTTATGTTATTGTAGCGCAATGCATTTTAAAGAGGGCGCACTTTAGTTCTTTACTGGTAGCCGGCGGGGTGCGCGTGCACTCGCCCAGGTTTATGGGGGCACCAGCCAATAGCGCCAGTGTATATAAGCGGCCACGCACTCAGCTTCGCCCTCTTTCTGCTGTGGCCGGAACCCGAGCGTGGTCTCAGGAAAACTTGCACTGTTCTAATCTCCCACAATTAACCAATAACCAATCACCTATAGTCACAGTGGAGGGAGCCTCGTACTTTGTGTGAGTGTAATTGATAAATGATTCCTGCATCATAATCTAGATAATTAAGTAATCTCTGAGTTTGTAAGGGAAGTGATTGAGTATAAGATCACGTAGGCGAGGCGCCTGGGTAGGCGAATAAAATAATCTTCCTAAGTCGAGGGTATGAAGTGGTGCAGTTGACCACTCGGTTGTAATAAAGAGACTTGGCTCTTGCAAAGATTATTTGTATATATATGAACTAGTAGGTTATCCTTGTACAGGCGCGGTTCTAGAACCAATATTTTTTGGGGGGAGGCTAGCTTGGTGGATCCATCATTTTTTTCAGGGAGGCGTGCTGAAATGTAGACCGGTTATTTTCTCCAGACACTTAGGCCTCCGAAAATCAATAGGGGGGGAGGGGGGAGCTCATGCCATAATTTCAATGGGGAGCGCCAAAAAAATCCTAAAATCCTTCACACTATATTAACTACAAATGCTACCTTGTCACGACTATTTCTTTAGGGGGAGACCGTTCGCATGTACATCACAATCCTTCTTTTTGCTAATGCAATTTCTTTTTACGGAACTTATTTTGGGGGGGGCTAGACTAAATTTTGGGGGGCTAAAGTCCCCCTTAGCGTTTTTGGAATCACTTTTTACCTGGACTACACTTGAAGCTTGTGTAGTCCAGCTCTCTGTGGGACATATCTGAATAAGTTGGTCCCCTCTATTGCCAATAAAGTCTATCACTTAACCTCAGATCGGTGGTATATTTCCGCCAAACGAACTGCCCCAGTCCGCCGTTTGTTAACTATATCCCCCTTGCGTCTGGGTAGCCGCTCATCCTTGCGTGAGGTTAATAGATATTTTTGTGGGTTAAGGCCAGGTCCGATTCCATCCTTAGATCAGGTCAGACTGTTGTGTCATCTAGTTATTCCCGCCACAAAGGTTGTATAGCTAATTCCGCCACAGTAATCTGGAGTTGATGTTTTATGGCAACTATGCTTTACTTTGAAAAATGTAATAATATTATTGCCGTGAAAACAAATTCAATCTTTCAAATGAACAATTTCTTGCAATGTATGTATTAATATCTGCATAAACTGCAAATATGAAATTAAATATAATATATAAATAATATAAAATATTTAAAATTGTAAATGAAATATTAAGAACTCCTGAACCCTTAATGGAGATTGGTTGTTTCAGTTGGATGACTGTTCATTGTGAGTTTGAGTAATGCAAGTCCATAAAAATATGTATTTTTTCCCCCTTTTTGGATTTTTTACCGAAAAGGTAAGACCGGTTAGAGTCTGGATGCTGATAATTACCGTCGCCTTTGGCTCAGGTAATTATCAGCATCCAGACTCTAACCAGTCTTAAAGAGAGTGTTTAAAACATCCAAAGCACACTTTTATTCCCTTATTCAAGAAATAATTTGTAGACCTTAACCTTTTGATTACTGTGAGCTTTCCTGCCAGACACGATGTTGAGAGGTTGCCATCCAGTTCTCTGCAACACGGTGTATACGAGATAATTTGCATGCTTTGCGGTGTAAGGGGTACTCTCTGTTGATGGGACGCTGTTCGAAACCGACCATTATGCACACTAATGGACAATAAATGGTACTTTTCATGCGCAGAATAACAAAAAAGCACCCACAACGGCCGGCACCAGAAAGGGCACAATTTTTGTTTAAAAGGCCACTATTTCAGAAAAAATAAGGCACTTGTTCAGAAAAAAAGGGCACTTGTTAAGAAAAGAAGGGCACTCATTACAGATATTGGGGGGTAAGCGCTGGTGAGAAAAGGGCAATTTCCAAAATATTGGGGGGTAAATACCCCCCCCCCCCCGCTTCCTATGGTATGGGGTACCTGGTAGCCATCAAAGTCCATATACAAGCATTCAAACATAAACAAAATAATTCTTTACTGTACCGTCACTCTCTTCATGTCAAGCTGTCTAATTTGATGAATATTCTTGAGAATTATAGACTTGTAGTTGACGTCTTGAGCAAGCGGGTTGCCATCAAGGGAGATCTCAGACAGGGACTGTGCATCAGCAATGCAGGAGATATCTTCATAACTACAATAAATCAAGTTGAATATTTTGATATTTTGTGGCCTACAAATACATGATCAGGATGTTTACTGAAGACAAATTCATCAACGCAACCAGTTTTTAAACTAAATATAATAATGATATACAGGGTGAGTCAAAAAAAGCAGAACCCAAACCCACAAAAAAGTATTTCATATTTAAAAAAATATGTAGCACCAAAAGTAATGACTGGAAAACCTATTTCAAAAGCTACTTTTAGATGAAAAATTACTGAAATTGCTCAATCCGTTCACAGAATATCACCATTTAAACGCAATCTAAAATCTGTCTTGTCCAAAAAATCAATTTACTTTGTGTTTTGACTGTTTGGAACAACAAAGAAAGTGACACAGAATACTTGTTTCAACAACTGTCATCAACTGTAGCACAATATTTTGATTAACAGCCCTGGTTAGGCAAACAATATGATTTATAAAATCTACTTTTTTAAAAGACGGGCCTTCAAAAGGACTTTGTTGCATATTGTTCACGTTTAAAGTAAGATTTCATTGCTGGTGATGTTTGAAGACAATTGTGAGGATGATTGTTGAAATCGCACTTTTTGGACGAGACAGGTTTTAGGGTCATTGTGTTTAAATGGTGATTTTTTTTGAATGGATTGACCAATTTCAGTAATTTTTTCTTATTCATATTTACTGCCCACTGAAATATTTCAACAAGAAAATGCATATTGATTACCTTGTGATACAGTTAAAACTCAGAAATAACCTCTGTAAACTTGGTAGATTATCCACATCTGACTGCAATTAAAACAAATATCAGGAAATATTTAATTAAAGAGACACACAAGGTATTTGTTGGCGTAAATTGATTAGTGCAATTAAAAGTGGGAATTTGGGTCCCACAATACTGACAGCACATCTGTTTGATGCAAAATGTGTAACGGGAATCTTTGCACATAATTATACCTACACAACAGCTAATTTTCAAGATGATACTGGGGTGGGGGGGGGGGCAGAAGCCAAGTACCACTCTTATATTCTACTGTTTAATTATCTTTAGTTAAAAATAAATATGTAAAACTGTGTTAATATTGTCTTTTCTGTTTTACCAAACACGTTTCTCAACAACTAATCTGGATTATTGTTCTTAAATGTATATACATGTATATCAGGCATGAGAATGGACTGAGAAAAAAAACCCTGAAAATATAATGTACCGATGGAAAGCGTAGCGAGCGAAGCGAGCGTAGCTGTCGCGGCTCACGGCCGGGGGTCCGACCGTGACGCTTGCCGCCTAGTCGTACGTGATATACTTAGTCGTGGTGATAGTGCAGCTAGCTGCATGATGCATGTGCTTTGGACCACACCATTTGTGGTAATGAAGGGGTGAACTTTGTTGGGAACAATAATTACCAATATTTCTACTGTTAAATTTTTTTTAAAAAGACGACCAATACTTTTATGGTGTTCAAAACATTTCAAAACAAAATTTTATTTCAAATTCACACTGAACTCGGAGACCACAAATTTTGATGAAAAAAAACCCGGAATTCCGTTTTAAAAAGGAAAATTCTCATGCCTGGTATTTACATGCAGTAAAAGTGTTTTGTGTGTGTGTGTGTGGTAAAATAGAAATGCAACCTGAATTTATTCATGTCAATGTTTGTATTGGTCACGTTGTATTTTTAATCAAGGATTTGTACATAATAATGCTGCTGCTAATAGGGGCAACTTTATAGTACAAAGGCTTAAATACATGAACATGTAGGTATTTGATAATGGTATTGACACGAACACACACACACAAAAAGTTCAATACTACTTTGTGGGTGGGGTCTTCAAAATTATACTCTCTGTACGACCGAGAAAATGATGAAAACTTTGGACAGCCCCTTACCAAATAATTTTCATTAAACTGATTTACTAAGTTGATTTTGTACTTTGTCTGTCCGTCAGTCTGTCCGTCTTTCAATGCATCTCTGTAAATATCTTAATAAATGAGACATTTTTTCCTCTGTTGAAATTTCAACCCGTCAAAAACTCAACATCAAGAGTGCACTTAACTGATCAGTCACCCACCATGTCATCAAGGCAACAATATTTCCAAAAATTGTCAATTTTCCTTAGTTTAGTGCAGACACTAAATACAATTGTCCTCAAAGACAGTAACTTAAAATGTGGATGAAATGGCTCCCATTTAATTTCAAATTCCTAGAGTGACTGATGAGCATTTCTGACTTACCACAGTAATAATCTTATTGCGTCTGAGATTAAGTTCCGTCACAGCCTCCATGCCAGCCAATCCATTGACGTGTGTGATACTATTACCAGCCAAATTTAGCACTCGCAACTCCTCCAGATGACACAGGTTCTCAATCCTATCAATCTGGTTTCCATGGAGATCTAAGACATCAAGCTTGGTCAGAGCATTCAGGTTCCCAATCTTCTTGATTCTGTTGTAGATATGCAAGAATATCTAGCATTACGGTTTCTGATTGAAATAAAACTATGTGATATTTTACTACCAGGGGTGGGATTATTGTCACAGCCGATGTTTGGAAAAACTCCTGTCTTCTTTGTCTTTATTACTTTTGTTGATTGTACTAACAATGTTATGATCTGGAGTTTGTACTAAGGGTTCACTGTGCAGGAACTAAGAAGGGTGTCTGTGTGAGTTTGTTTCAATAGGGGACATTGAACAATAGGGGACATTGAACAATAGAGGACAATAGGGTCCCCAATTCCCGAAGGTCCCCAATTTGGCAATTGTGTACAAAACATATGGGAGGTCTTCCTAAAAAGTTAAAATACAAACAAAATAGGGACAATTGGGGGTCCCTGATTTTACAGGCAAATACACACTTGTAGTGTTCATCTTTTCAAACCATGGACGAAAATTACCAGAGAACAAAAGAGAACAATATCGTCCATGATTCTCAGCATACGTCCGCGATTGGGGTCGTGTACAAAACCTATGGGAGTCTTCCTAAAAAGTTAGTACAAACAAAAGAGGGACAATAGGACGTTCACGATCGACGGTGAACACACATTTGTGCGTGTGTGTGTGTTTGATCTGCAATTGGTATATAATGGATGGTCGTGATAACACGTTACAGTTTAATACTGCTTGAGTGGGAAACTGCAAGAGCAAGAACAGTGTTGCATTAAAACTAGTAGTGTTTAATTTGACTGGCTGTTTATGCCTGGTGAAAAGAACTTCACCTTTTAGGTGTTGGGCCATGAGCCCAACACCTATTGTCAGATTGTTATTGTAAGAAATTACAAAATTTTTTTATTCTTCAAGACACATTCGTAAAAAATCAAAACCCATATGAACTTCAATTGTCAATACATAAATGCACAACCCACTGAAGATGTGCTTTTTTGCAATTACGTCATCATGACGTCATGATGGGTCACGAGACATCACTTCAAAAAAATAACAAATTTAATCTTTGAAATTCAATATAAAATCAACCATGAGAGACCGGAACTTGAATTTTGCGGGAATCGACATGATAATACATGATCTTCATTTTATCTCGTGCACGTCAAATCACGTGACCCTTCCTTCCGGTCAAAACAGAAAGTGCCTAATAATTTGAAAGTGGAACTTTGAAAGATAGGAACTTGCTTTCAACGTTGTTAGTGTCTGACCTTTCAAAAAAATTGATCTGTGACGCCAGGAAGAGTTGGAGCACCCTCTAGTGGCTGGTTAAAAATGTCCAAAACGCATTTTAAGTTGATGTCTGTGGCGAAACTTGCGGTAATCGCTTCAAAATAAATATACATGATGACCTTAATGCAGACAAGACAAAAAAATTGATTACGTCATCAGACCGGAAGTTATAATGAAAAGACCTTTTAACCATAAAAAATTGCAAAAAAATCAACCGTGAGAGATTTAATCAAGATTTGGCTATATATAGCACAGTTAACATTGCTCTTGAGCTTTCTGGTAATTACGTCACAATGACATCATCAAGTATCATATTACAAGCAAATAAAGATTTCTTTATTTAATCTTTGAAAATCAATATGAAATCAACTGTTACAGATTTGATTTTGCATTTTATGGCAATCGATACAATATTGCGGGGTCTTTATTTCTGGTATTAAGTGCAAAATTATGTGACCCTTCCTTCAGGTCGAAACCGGAAGTGTCTTATTATTTGAAATTTGCAGAAGATGCGAACTTGCTTTCAACGATGTGTGTGCCTAGGCAGTACTGTACAAAAATGTTACAGGTGACGTCATCGAATGTTAGAGTGCCCTCTGGCGGCATGTTGAAAAAGTCAGCCATGGATTTAAACAGGCATTTTGAGTTGATGTGTGTGGCAAAGTTTGCGGTAATCAATGGCCCAACACCATGTGGTTATTCCTACAACCTCTAGTTGTTTTTGTGCTCCTCAAGAAATTCGTTTCCAGAACAGTTTGTCAACATGAAAACATTTATGAACCTCAATTGTCAATACATGAATGCACAACCCACTGAAGATGTGCTTTATTGCAATTACCTCATCATGACGTCATCATGGGTCATTTAATGTCACTTCAAAAAATGACAAATTTAATCTATGAAATTCAATATAAAATCAACCTTGAGAGACCGGAACTTGAATTTTGCAGGAATCACTAATATAATTTGCAAGTGGAAAAAGATATGAACTTGATTTTAAGGATGTTAGTCTCTGGCTAGGTTGACCTTTCCAAAAATTTATCAGTGACGTCATAAGATGTTAGAGCGCCCTCTAGTGGCAGGTTAAAAAATGTCAAAAACACATTTTCAGTTGATGTGTGTGGCGAAATTTGCGGTAATTGCTTCAAAATTAATATATATGATGACCTTAATGCAGACAAGACCTCCGTGCAGAAAAATGATCACATCATCAGCCTGGAAATAAGAATGAGAAGACCTCTTTTCCTTTGAAAATTCGTGGAAAATCAACCTTGAGAGATATAATCTCGATTTGTGTTTTAAATGGCAATGTAAATATAGGTCTAAAACGTCCCCATGTTTCGCTACAATAAGTAAACTTGGAGATGCCCTAAAGCCCCCCCTCAAATTTGAAGTTGACAACGCCTATGCCTGAAAACGTTAATTGAATGCCATGTACATTGTGTCGTGTCTACAGCAAATGGGGATCATTGCGTACAAAAGGGAATTCCCTACCACACAGTGTGCCTGCCTCTTGAGTGTCTGGTTTTACGTTTGTTTTATGTTAAATATTGAGCCACATGTAAGCATTAAAGGATAATGCCCGAGGTACGCGACATTCGTGGGTAATGGCCCGAGGGCGAAGCCCGGGGGCCATTCTTACCGACGAATGGCGCATTACCGAGCGCACATTCTGTACAAGAAAAAAATGGTTCTTGACTTTTGCGTAAACGCTGTAAGAAATTGTATAAAAAAATGCATACAATTCTACTTGAAAAACGGTGTAGCTTATTGTATAAGCAACAAAAATGGTTTTTGACTTTCACGTTAAGGTACGAATGATGCCTAAAATTCCATTTGAAAACGGTGTAGCATGTTGTATAAGAAACAAAATGGTTCTTAACTTTCACGTAATCGTAGGAATGATGCACAAAATTCCATTTAAGAAACGGTGTAGGGCCTATGAGAAAATTCTGTATGAGAAAAAAATGGTTCTTGACTTTCTTTCGAGTACGAAATGTATAAGAAAATGCATAAAATCATCATGGGAAACGGTGTAGTACAGTTGCAACTGTGCAAAACTATAATTGTGTCATTTTTGGTGTTTCTTAATTTCCCGCTCCATTATTTTGTAGGAATGGAGTGATGGAGGCATTTATTACCTTCCAAAAGAATGGAGAGGTATCGCCTGCAATGCTCCATTCATACAAAATAATGGAGCGCTAGGACAATAGGGTGACATCACGGGTGGAGTTTAACGGCTGTTTCATGGACCAATGCATTTTAAGTGTTTTCCAGTGTTTTGTACATGTTTATATGACAAAAGCACTTTTTTGACTTTTGATGATGTGATATGAGACTCATAAGTTGGGCTGGCAAAAACGCCCGACTGTCCAGGGTACTTTAGGCACTAAAATCTATCCAATTGCCTTTATACTCGGCACACACTTAGACAAGCATCTGAAGATGTGTGATGAACATTTACGTCATCATGACGTCATCACGAGACGTTGAAATATACAGGCATATTTTGAAGGCCTATATCTCCATAACTACAGGTTTGATTGGGTTGAAACTTGGTATGTACGTAGACCGGGATGTGTTATAGATAAAAATTGAAGTGACGTAACGATGATGTCATAAAGTGACATATGACGTCATATCAAAGGTGCATATTTTGAAGGTCAATATCTACAGAACTACAGGTCTGATAGGGTTTAAACTTGGTATGTACCTAGACTGGGATGTGTTATAAATGAAAATTCAAGTGACGTCACAATGACGTCATCACGTGACATGCGACGTCATATTAAAAGTGCATATTTTGAAGGCCAATATCTACAGAACTACAGGTCCGATTGGGATGAAACTTGGTATGTACCGGTACCTAAACCAGGATATGTTATAGATTAAAATTCAAGTGACATCACGATGACATCATCACATGACATGTGACGTCATATTTAAAGTGCATATTTTGAAGGCCAATATCTACAGAACAACAGGTCCGATTGGGTTGAAAGTTAGTATGTACCTAGACCGGGATGTGTTATAGATAAAAATTGAAGTGACGTCACGATGATGTCATCATGGGTCATGTGACATCACGTTAAAGATTAATGGATGTAAGTTTTGAAAATCAATATAAAATCAACCGTGAGAGACCTGAACTTGACATTTTTTTTGGGAATTGATAGAATAATCCAGGGTCTTCATTTTTTAATTTTACGTGCAAAATCACGTGACCCTTCCTTCAGGTTGAAACCGGAAGTACCTTGTAATTTTAAAATGGTAAAAGATGTGAAAAAAATAACGGTGACGTCATAAAATGTTAGAGCGCCCTCTAGCGTCAGGTTGTTACAGATGATTATAGATAAACATTGATGTGGCGTCATCATGACGTCATCACGTGACATGTGACGTCATAATTCAAAGCCCTATGAAATCACATATTCATCACATATTTGTATGCCACCATTTACTATAAACAGGACTACACATTCTTTCTGGATAGAACTTATACTTGAAACTGTTTGTCCACAAATATAAATCTAGTTTCAAATTATTGCTGATCAGGAGTGCAGTAGGCCGCAAAAGGCATGATATTTTGATAACTTTTTAGCCTTTAGTCACTGTAACACCCTGCCTGTTACTTACTGTACCAACCGAAACTGCCTGCGCACTCTGTTTTTATTGATTCTCAGTGAATAAACCCCCCCCCCCCCACAGGAGTGTGGGACGAGTCTACAAGTGATACTTACCCAAATAGCTACTACATATGCATATTTATTCAGC